CACATTTTCCCTGTCCAGCCTATCATCGATGGGCATTTAGGATTACTGCCATTTGATGTTAACTGGCTGTTTTATCCATTCGTTGATATAAATTCTTCTTTATGTTGATGCTCTTTACTTTTTGGTATATTTTTAGAAAGGCTAATACTGGTTGGTTCTTTCTATGTATGATGCTTCTTTCAGAAGTTCTTGTAAAGCAGGCCTGTGGTAATAAAATCTCTGAGTACTTGCTTGTTCATAAAAGATTTTATTTTTCCTTCAGTTGTGAAGCTTAGTTTGGCTGGATATGAAATTCTGGGCTGAAAGTTCTGTTCTTTAAGGATGTTGAATATTGGCCCCCACTCTCTTCTGGCTTGTAGAGATTCTGCTGAGAGATCTGCTGTAAGTCTGATAGGTTTTCCTTTGTGGGTAACCTGACCTTTCTCTCTGGCTGCCCTTAGTATTTTCTCCTTCATTTCAACCCTGGTGAATTTAATGATTATGTGTCTTGGGGTTGCTCTTCTTGAGGAATATCTTTGTGGTGTTCTCTGTATTACCTGGGGTTGAATATTGTCCTGCTTTGCTAGGTTAGGAAAATTTTCCTGTATAATATCCTGAAGAATATTTTCCAGCTTGGATTCATTCTCTCCGTCGCATTCAGGTACACCTATCAAACGTAAATTAGGTCTTTTCACATAGTCCCACATTTCTTGGAGACTTTGCTTATTCCTTTTTATCCTTTTTTCTCTAATCTTGTCTTCTTGTTTTATTTCATTAAGTTGGACTTTGACCTCTGATATCCTGTCTTCTGCTTGATCAATTCGAGTGTTTAAACCTGTGCATACTTCTAGGAGTTCCTATATTGTATTCTTCAGTTCCATTAATTCACTTATATTCCTCTCTAAATTGTCTACTCTCATTAGGATTTCATCAAACCTTTTTTTCAAAGTTCTTAGTTTCTTTACATTGGGCTACAACATGTTCTTTTAACTCACAGAAGTTTCTTATTATCCACCTTCTGAAGCCTGATTCTGTTATTGGGATGCACTTGTTCTCCATCAAGCCTTGTTCCCTTGTTGATGAGGAACTGTGATCATCTTTAGAGGGAGAGGCGTTCTGATTTTGAGTATTCTCAGCCTTTTTACGCTGGTTTCTTCCCATCATTGTAAATTTATCCAGCTGTCGTCTTTGTAATTACCAACTTTCAAATTAGGTCTCTGAGTGGATGTCCAAGTTGTTAATTCCCAGGGCCGGAATATGAGCAACCCACTGCGCCGGTCAAAACAGCAGCGTTAAGACTGATGGTGCTTTTCTGCCCAGGAATCTCCAGTCTGGCTTCCTTCTTGAGTTCGTAATAGGCGACTCTGCCTTCCCGGAGCTCCAAACGTCAGTCAGAAGGGGAACCAGTCCCGTTTACTCTGCACCAAGAGCTGCCACGCTGAGGTGCCAGCAAAACTGCTGCGCTGGCCACAAGAGTCGTGCTGGCGGCCGATGGGACTCCTCCACTGGGAATCTTCTGCTCTGTGAGCGACCAAAATTTGTCTGAAAGTGTGGCGTCCTCTCGTTCTCTGTGCTTTCACTGGGAGCTGCAATCCCGAGATGTTAGCGATCAGCCATCTTGGATCGTTCCCTCAGTATCACATTACACCTGTTTTGAAAGTGACCACATAATTGGAAGTAAATAATTCTTTAGCATTTGCATAGCATTTCACAGACTTGAAATATTGGTTGGCTGTTTGTTATTTTCTTCCCTTATTCCTTCCTGTCTCTGCTGATAAGTACAATTATTGGCATAAAAGAGGTTTTTAATACATATTTTTAGATTGCATTCCAGCCTAGGCAATAGAGCAAGATTCCTGTTCTCTCTCCCCTTTTCTTTCTCTTTTTTTCTTTAAAAAAAAAAAAAAAAAGCCGGGCATGGTGGCTGAAGCCTGTAATACCAGCACTTTGGGAGGCCAAGGCGGGTGGATCACGAGGTCAAGAGATCAAGACCATCCTGGTCAACAAGGTAAAACCCTGTCTCTACTAAACAAAAAATTAGCTGGGCATGGTGGCGCATGCCTATAGTCCCAGCTACTCGGGAGGCTGAGGCAGGAGAATTGCCTGAATCCAGGAGGCAGAGGTTGTGGTGAGCCAAGATTGTGCCATTGCACTCCAGCCTGGGTGACAAGAGCGAAACCCCATCTCAAAAAAAAAAAAAACAAAAAAAAAAACCTCCTTCATATGTTGTTTCTTTTCTCTTGCTGCTCTTAATATCCTATCTTTATCCTTGATTTTTGGAAGTTTGAATATTAAATGCCTTGAGGTAGTCTTATTTGATTTAAATATGCTTGGTGTTCTAAAAAAAAAAAAAAAAGAGAGAGAGGAAAAAATATATTGCTTATAGCCATTACTGGAAATAGTGAAAAAAAAGAAAAAAATAGTAGACAGCAAAGACTTGATCGAATATGTGTGAAGCCCTTGACTAGACACAGTTAAGAATACAAATATGGATAAAACACAGTCCCTACTTTTGGAAATTGTATTTCATTCATTCAGTAACTATTCAGTACACTATGTATAGGACAATTCTAGGTACCATAATACAAGAATGCATAGGATAGAGAAGATCCCTGCTCTGATATAACTCACATTCTTAGGGCGAAAACAGAGTAAAGTAAAGCAAAAAGGTAACAAAACAAAACAAAGAACAAAGGGTTAACTGCAAATGCTGCTTAGTGGTTGAGGAACATGAAGTGAGTGAAGAAGGGTCTATGGGATTTGGTCATCAATTATTGGTAATTTTGATGAGCAGTATGAGTGGAGTTGTGAGGACAGAATCCAGATTATAGTAAATGGCAATAAAGGCATTAACAAGTTGGGGATAGTGAGTGAAAATAATGTGTTCATAAAGTGTTACTCTGATTGAGAGCAGGGAAATGGTAGGATAACCAGAAGAGACTGTGGGGTCAAAGGGGAGTTGACATGCTGATGGAAATAATCCAGCTGAAGGGAGAAATTGATGATGCAGGCAGGAGGGAGTGGTATAATTATGGGAGTTAAAGCTTTTGTAAAGACATCTGGAACTAAGTTTAATAGGAACAGGGACACTCATCCATTATAATAGGAAGGAAAGTAGAGAACATAGACTTAGGTGCAGGTTGGCTTGTAGAGCTGATCATGGGAAAATGAAATTTTAATTTATTTTTCATAGTGAAGAATGAAGTGAGAACACCACATGCCTGTTTGATATGTGTGCCTGAACTTGAGTGCACTTGTGCATGCTTGTGTGTATGTAGTTGGGACTGAGAGTGGGTGATGAGAGATGGCTTTAGAGAGTGAGACTTGAAGCATAAACAGAGATACACAGCATAATGGGACTAGTCCTGACTGAGTCTTAGAGGAGGAAGGAGGTAATGTGTTGAAGATACGGTTCCTGAATACTTAGCTCCCTTTTGGGTATGTGGGGTGGAGCAGTGTTATCCTCATGCACTGGCAGTGGATGATGCTCTGTAGGGAGAGGGATTCAGCATTCTCCCCCTACTTTGTAGGATTGTGATAATGATTTGAATGAAATATTCCTTTTAAGGGACTAATACACTGCTTAACACATGGCTAAGTGCTCAGTAAATGAGTTACTAGTTATTGTTAATTAATTTAGGAGGACTAAGGTTTAGAGAAGAAGAGTGTTTTTCTCAGGGTTCTAAAAGGTCTCTAGGAAGAATGAAAGCCCTAATACATGAGAGCTGAGGCCTGCTGGAATCTCAGACTGTGAGACTGATGTGCTCTTCCTGCCTGGGGTAGAGCAGGCCAGTAGCCCCTTCCTCCTAACCTCTGAAATCTTGTGGGCATTCCAGGATATATGGAATCCTGAACCCAATGCCAGCCAGCCAGTCTTGTTAAGCACAGTCCACACTCCACTCTTCCCTTTGTCCACATCATTCTTGTGCTTACCTCTGTTCATTGAACTAAAATGAATGCCAGTGGAAAAACCTTGCTCCCCCTTGATGGATGTCTTCTCTCCAGTCAAGATGTATAGCTGTGGCTTGGATCAGTGCCAGGGAATTTTGTGAGGAGACCAGTCTGGTCTTTGGCAGGTTCCCAAGATTATAGCCACATTGATTCCTTTCCCTCCTCCCCTTGGAGGCTGGCTGTGGAAGGTGGCTGATCTTGATTGTACTCCTTAGTATCTCAAATCCATTCCTTAGTCAGGCTGAGACATACCTCCTGCCTTTCCGCTACGCTCAGAGATTGGTCTTATGGTGTGAATCTATCCAACTTGTTTTTGTGAAGACAGGCTGTCTCGTTTAATCATGTCAGGCACATGCTGTAGGGCTCAGGGCCCTGTTGTCCCCTTTCATGGAAAAATATATTAATAAATAAGGGTGCCTGTTACTTCCTGTGTCTGTGCCCACTGCTCTCCGAGAGGTCCTACCCTGGCAGTGTGCTGAGGGAGGAGCATTGCACAGATATTCTAGGCTTATTTCTGCCTGAGAAGCTGGCTGACAGCCCTCTGTTTGTGGTTGGCTTCTGTCTGCCCCATGCCATTTCTTCCTCTTTCATGAAATGATCCAATTCTCAGCTGAGCCTTTCCTCTTCCAGCTTCAGGGTAAGGTCACTTTGTTAGACCCCTGGCTGATTGAAGGAAAAGGTATGATAGTACACTCAGAGCTGGCCTGGCCTCTCTTACCTTAGGGTGCTATTCACCCAGGGACATTTTCTTTCTTGGGGACTATGGTGCTTCCCTCTAATTTTTTTTAGAGACAGGGCCTGACTCTGTTGCCCAGCTGTGGGAGTACAGTGGCACAATCATAGTTCACCACAGCTTCGAACCCCTGGGCTCAAGTGGTCCTCCTGCCTCCCATGTAGCTGGGACTACAGGCGCGTACCCTCACATCCCAGTTAATATGTTTAAATTTTTTTTTTGTAGAGGTGGGATCTTGTTATCCTTCCATCATGGCCACCCAGAGTACTGGGATTACAAGTGTGAGCCACCAAGCCCAGCCATGCCTTCCTCTTTACTCTCACTTTTCTTTGAGCAGGCTGGATATCAACACCAACACCTATACATCTCAGGACCTCAAGAGCGCACTGGCAAAATTCAAGGAGGGAGCAGAGATGGAGAGTTCAAAGGAAGACAAGGTGTGTGATGCTTTTTCCCGTGAGTATAAGCCTGCAGGATGGCCTTGTTTTTGCAGAGAAGGGAATCATTTTTATGGGAACTCTTGCAATAAACATGGGATAATAATATTGTAAAATAATTTAAAGAACCATTAATGACAAATGAGAAACACTTAGATGATATTAAAAAAAAAAAAAACAGTGCTGGGAGCATTTCTGTTGTGGTTTAATTTAGAATTCTGTTTGTCATTCTGTTTCTTCAAACAGCTCTCCATGTTTTGAGAAATCAAGGCACCGAGCAGGGGTAGCCATTCTCTCCATTATCATAAGCCTAAGTGGAATGAGTAGATTTTATGGCCCAGATCTCTGCCTCACTTACACTTGGATTAGGCACAACCTTGTTCCAAAAGAACAGAGGAGCTGGCCCAGGAAGCAGGAAGCCCAAGTCCTTGTCCTTGTCCTTTGAACATGTAGCAAATGTGTTTCTTCTGGGCCTCAGGTTCTTTAAATTTAAAACATGGTACTGGAACAAGAGGATGACTGGGGGTTCCTCTGGCTCTAAATTTCTCTAGAAGCTAAGAGACTGAGAGGAGGAAAAGGTGAAGAATTATAGCCCCTTGGCCATGCCCCTAATGTCTGGGAGGGCTCACAGGTGCAGGTCTCTACCAGGAAGAAGTCTCACTCTTAGATGGACCATGAGCTCCTGGAGTCATTTCTCTGTATTTCTGTTTGAGTCCTCTCAGTTTTTGAAAGAACCTTCTTCGATGCTGTCTTGGAGACCTAAGTTCTCCCTCCCTCTTCTCCTTACAGTCCTTATTTGCATTTTTTTTTCTTTTCTTTTCAAGATGGAGTTTCACTCTTTTGCCCAGATAGCCTTGTTGTTTGTGCTGTGGCATGATCTTGGCTCACTGCAAGGTTTACCTTCCAGGTTCAAGTGATTCCCCTGCCTCCTGAATAGCTGGGATTACAGGTGCCTGCTACTATACTCCGCTAATTTTTATATTTTTAGTAGAGATGGGGTTTCATCATTTTGGCCAGGCTGGTCTCAAACTTCTGACCTCAAATGATCTGCCCACCTTGGCCTCCCAAAGTGCTGGGATTACAGATATAAGCCACCGCACTCAGCAGTCATTTACCTGTATTTATCTCTTTACTCCTTCTCCTGAACCCAGGTAGTATCTTAGAGAGGCGACATAAGGTTCTTGACAGCTTGTGTGTTACTGGAAGAAGCCATAGGTTCTTCTGATCTTTTAGAAGTAAATATTTCTGGGAAAATGAACCTCTTGGGGGCTAGGAAGCTGGTGTTTATCTATTTAAGATATGCGAAATACAGGCCCAGTCTCCATATCTTTACTCATCTTACCAAAGTCACTTCTCTGACATGGAGAGTGTATGTGGTGTAGCACAGTGGCAGCAGCAGTGGGTGAAGGAAGGCAGTGCTTGAAATTGCATCCTACCACAGATGTATTAGCCGAGGGGCTGAGGAGAAGCACATCTCCTCTCTGGTACAGGTGAGGCCAGGAGAGGAGTGCCTGAGTACCTGGGTGCCTGGGATTGGTCAGGGCTTTGGCTCCTTTCCACTCACTTGGTTCCATGTGGGACTGATGGGAACATTAACAAGTCAGCTTCTGTTCAGTGTCTTCTCTGTGGATGGAGGACCCACTTAACCCCTTTCTCTTCTCTTTGCTTTCCCTGGGAGTGCGTTTGGATTTCCTTTTCTCAGGTGATGGCATTTCCCCGACCCTAGTACTTCAATTAGTGTAGAAAAGTATGAATATTTATAAAAGTATTTAAAAATGTAAAAGCAAGAGATTACTTAAAAGTTTTAATTGTTTTTGTAATTAAAAATACTCCTTTCAGCCAGGCACAGTGGCTCATGCCTGTGATCCCAGCACTTTGAGGAGGATGAGGCAGGTGGATCATCTGAGGTCAGGAGTTCAAGACCAGCCTGGCCAACATGGCGAAACTCTGTCTCTACTAAAGATACAGAAAAACTTAGCCAGGCGTGGTGGCATGCTCCAAGATACTCAGGAGGTTGAGGCAGGAGAAACACTTCAAACCAGGAGGTGGAGGTTGCAGTGAGCTGAGATCGTGCCATTGCTCTCTAGCCTGGGTGACAAGAGTGAAACTCTGTCTCAAAAAGAAAAAAAAAAGTCCTCTCCCCTTGCAGGGAGATCCCAGTATCAGCACCTAAATGTAAGACATCCAGCTCCGGCTCATTTGCACCAGCTGCCCACCTCTGATATCTGGCTATCATACTCTTTCCCTGATGCTGTGGAACTTAGGTTGTTAACACCATCATTGAGGTGCTAAGTCCTGGGGTCCTTCTCCTACTTTCATTTGGAGCCTGTCTGGACTGATTCAGCTCACTGCCAATGTGCTATCTGAGCTGGCTCTGGGGTTGGCAAATAAATGGATTTGAAATTGGTTAGATAGTTTCTTACATATCTCAAGCTCCTGGCTACAGATGCCATTCTTTTTTCGTTTATTAATCTTTAAACCTAGCCTATGTGGTGTCTTACAAGTATAGGATGGTGCTTTTGTGATTTTTATATATAATAGTATCAGATATTCAGCGATATCCTCTTGATTAAATTAGTGGGTTTTTGGGAATTTGATGTTTTTGGGGAGAAGAACATCAATTACATTGTATCCATTAGTAGCTTAGTAGGTTTAAGTGAATCAGTCTTTCCCGGAGTTCCTTGGTTCTTGGAAAAGCTCTCTCTCTCCCAGCAGATTTGGGTTGTTATTGTTGAATCTCATCTACTTACTCCTCTATTTCCCTACAAATTGCTTGATGCTTTATGTTTTATTATGTCAGCTATTGTTCACCTGTATTCTACAAATTATTGTATTTTAAGATATGGCCTTCTTATGCTTTCGATTCTTGGCAAGATGTAATAGACTAATTTCTCCCTATTCCCCCAGCTAAGGGTAGCTAAAAACCCTGGACATATTACTAAAAGAAAATTTAGGAAGACTCTAAAATACTGTCAGAAGGAAGCAGACTGGCTAGGGATCTTGGAGCTTGAGGAATGACATGCAGTGAGTTCCTTGGATTTCTTTTTGTCCTCTGTATATTCTAGACTGAGCGTTGGCAAATCCCACATTCTGGAAATGTCAACTGGTGCAGATTTTAAAAAGTTATAAGAAAAGCCTGCTATTTCTAGAAAAAGAATTGAGCAAAGCACATCCTAACAGGACAGAAACCTTATTTACAATACCTGCCCTACTCTCACCAAAGATCATGAAAATCTCCCCACCCTACTTAGTGCTAGTGCAATGGACATTGAGTTGGGGAGTCTGGACTTCTACCTCCTATTTGACGGTAGTAGCAAGCTGTACTCTGATTCCTCCGCTGGGGTCACTGAAAGCCAAATGGAGAGCCTGAACTCATATCCATTCCTGATAGCAAAACAGTGGTAGAAGGCAGTGCTCTGCTTCCTCCACCAAGATGGTGTCAGTGGGAGTTGAGCAGAGAGCTTGACTTTTCACCCTCTGCCCAGTAGGTGCTCTCTGCTTCCCCTGCTGGTGTATTACCAAGAGAGACCAAGTGTGGATCCTGATTTTCCATCCCCTATCTGACAGTAGCAGGCTGCTTATCCTGCTGGAGTGGTGAACTTGAATATCTGTCCTCTGCCTGGCAGCACCAACATGGTTTTTTACTTCTCCCTGATGACAAGGTGCCAGTTGGGGTGAATGAAGAGTCTGTACTTCCATCCCCACCTCGGAGGCAATGAGACTGTAAGGCAGCATTCTGCTTCCTTCTCTGGGGTAGGGCCAGTGGAATAAATGAGAAGTATGAACTTCTACCCTCAGGCCAGCAGCAATGAAGCAGTGCTTTGATTCTCCCATCAAAGTGGTGTCAGTAGAGGACCAGCGGGGAACCCAGACTCCCACTCCCAGTGACCAGCATCCCCTCCCAATTAGAGAGTAGGGGTAGGATTTGGGAGAGAGGGGAGCTAGAGAAAGGGATTTTGTATATGAAGTCCTAGACATACCCTTTAGTTATTTTTCCTGATCACCTCCCTCTTCCCAGCCTCCACCCAATAGGCCTCATACAAGAAACTGACCAGAATTAATACAACAAAGTTCAGGAACTGAGCTATAGTGTGGAATGCTGCCCAGGTTCTTAGATTGGCCTCTGGGTAGCACACAAAGGAAGCAGACCAGAATAGCACTACAGTGCTCTGAAAACTAAATTGTCATTGGAGCCACAATCCACACAAGGAAGCCAGAACTAGTATACTAACCCTAAATAGGATGGCTCCCTACTAAAAAAGATTAAGTAGGATCTGGAATCTCATAACTTAATACCCAAAATGTCTAGGATATAGTTAAAAATCATTCCTCATAACAAGAACCAGGAAAATCACAACTTGAATTAGATAATCAACAGATGCTATTATGGATTGAATGTTTGTGTCTCCCCCAAATTCATAAGTTGAAGCCCTAACCCTGCAGTGTGATGTTGTTTGGAGGTGGGATCTTTGGGAGTTAATAAGTTTAGGAGAGGTCATGAGGGTTGGGCTCAAAAGGGATTAATGTCCTTAGAAGAATCAGGGAGACCAGCACTCTCTCTCTCTCTACCATGTGAAGACACAGCTAGAAGGTGATTATCTGTAAGCCGAAAAGGGGACCCTCACGGGAAACCACATCAACTCTTACCCTGATCTTGGACTTACCCAGCCTCCAGAATTGTGAAAAATAAATGTATGTTGTTTAAGCTACCCAATATATGGCATTTTGTTTTGGTAGCCTGAGCAGACTGAGACAGATGCTAACACTGACATGACTCATAAGTTGAAATTATCTAACAAGAATTTTAAAATGACTATTATAAAATCACTTCAACAAGCAAGTATGAACATTCTTGAAACAAAGTCTCAGCAAGGAAACTGAAGATATGAAAAAGAACCAAATAGAATTATAGAACTGAAAAATATAATAACTAAAATTTTAAAAGTTACCAGATAGGCTCAGTGGCAGAACAGAGATAACAGAGAAAAGAATCAGTGAAC